ACACACACACACACACACAGAGAGAGAGAGAGAGACAGAGAGAGACAGAGAGAGAGAGAGAAACAGAGAGAGAGAGAGTCTCGAAATACACTTAAGACCCTACATGGAGCATCTGGTCAGCAGGGAGTAGATAAGGAGTGTCTCTCTATCCTGTCAATAAATGGTCCTGGAGATCTCCTTCAGCTAAGGCTTCCAAAGCTACCTCTGTGCCTTCAAATGCCTACCTCTCTCTTCTGACGGATTCTTATATCCAACTGTTTACTCGGTGGATTTTCTGTGGCTACTGTAGTGTGTTACGCGGGTTAAATTTTATTATTTTATAGTTTTATGGTCAGGTGTTGGCGGTCTTGAGGATGCAGGGGAGAACATGCTTCTGTGCCGTGTCTGTTTGCTAGAGGCCATGCACATGCTCAGACCCATGTCTTCCTTCCTCCAGCTTCCCTCGGCAATGGCGCTTCTGATCACTTCTCCAGTTGCCTGAGCTTCTGGACACCACGTGAAAGTTCCCAGCTTTTAGGGACTGGCACAAATAGGTGAGGCCACCTAGATAACCTGCCATCTCAAGTTTAACCCTAAAGTGAGTGACACAGCCACAGGTTATGGAGACTAGAATGTCAAATATTTGAGACAAACTGTTCTGCCTACCACACTGTGCCCCTTGCTGGGTGGCTGACATGCATCTCTTACTCAGTAAGTTCAAACTGAGCCCCACTCCGCTCTTTAACACTCCACCCGCCTGCTGTTCTCTGCATCTCAGCTGATAGCAACTCCATCCTTTAGGTCATGTAGAAGCATCTTTGGATTCTCTCCCACATCCAAGCCATAAAGAAACAGACTATCTTTAAAATATATCTAGCCTCTGGTCACTTTATCATCTCCATTACTACTGATCTGAGCTGCCACCATCTTGCACTAGGAATCCTGCCATCATTTCTAATTGGCCTTCCTGCTTCTCTCCTGGAGTCTATTTTCAGAGTAGCTGGTAAGATTTTTTTTTTTAAGCTAAATAAGTTGATTGCTTCTGTGATGAAAACATGCAATGTCCCCATATCTCCCTTGGAATAAAAGACAGAGCCCTTTATGGTCTCCACTAAATTCCCTTTCTGACCTCATTTCCCACTCAACCCCATTTTCTGCATTCCAGTCACAGAGACCACCTTGCAGTCCCTCCATGCCCCAGGTATACCTACCACCTTGGAACGTGGTTCTTGTTTTCTCTTTGCCTAGGGCTCTCTTGGCCAGCTCCCTTACCCTGCGGGTGTTCAATTACTGATATGTCAAAGCTCCACAAAAAGAGGAGCCTCAAACAAAACCACTTATTATCTCAGTTCTGTAGGTCACAAGCCTGGTTGCAGCATCAGCTGAGTCTTTGGCTTAAGCCCACTGAAGCATCTTCTTCGGGTTGCTTCTGCCTGCTTCCGGTTTTTGGCTGGATTCAGTCTCTGTTGGGTCTCTGGGGGGCAGTGAGGGGAAAGCTGATCTATTTCCTCAAGACTGTTCCCTGTCCTTATGCTTCCCCATGGGCCCCTTTATGCTGATTTGGAATGAGATCACGCCAACATCTTGACACTTCCATACACTAACCAGTGTGATTTTTCTACTTTAAGGGACATCTCCTATTTTAAGATTTAACTTTGATTGCACCCAGCAAGTCTGTTTAGCCTGAAAATTTAACCTAGTCACAGGTACTTATACTATAGCCAAGCTCTCCGCTCCCCATTTCCCTTGGATTCCTCCTTTTCTGCTCCAGTTCTCCTATTTCCATAGCTTGTACTACTTTGTGAAAAACATAGTAATACCTGTGTTTACTGAGAATTCTGTTTTCTAATACTAGAAAAATCAACTCTGTAAGGTTAAGAATGTCTCATGACAAGATGCCAAAGACAACCTATTAGACAATGCGATAGGTATTTCTTTAAGGAGTAAGTGGCCCTATCTTAAGACTACCTTCTAACCCATTTCTACAGGGTCTTGTGGCTGTCAACCTTCCCTTGCTCTTACCAGCGATGGCAAGGCGGGTGGGTACATGGCAAACACGTTTTCTCTTGGGATAGCCTGTAACTTCTGTCAATAGCATCTCATCGGCTTCATTCTCACTGACAAAGACGTACAGAAATGCCTGCCGGGGGAAGTGTGTCTAATTATAATTTCTATAAGAGTAAGTATGTTTTCTTTTTAGACCATTATCCAAGGAGAAAAGCAAAACAAATTGAGTTGTTGAGTTAACCTCATCTCAACATGTCTAGAAAATAAAAGGACTAAATTAGTAATAAATGCTTTCTAAAAATCTCTACAAACTGAAAAATGGGCCACACTGACCTAAAGAAGAACCACTAGAAACAAGGGAAAGCTGATTAAGTTTAAAGCACAGACTGTCCCCCAGCAAGCTTAAATGAAGCTAGAAGGAATGAAAGGAAGGGGGAAAGAGTAAGGGGAGCTAGCCATGAGATGAACATAAGTGGGTTTTAGAACCAAATGCATTTTAGAAAAAAAGACCCAGGTGTATTAGAACATGGAACTGAAGCTCAGAGAAGGTGAACAACCCTCTCATCTCACACAGCTCGTCAGACATACTACTGCAGACTAAAACAGTGAGAAAAATCAAATCTCTCTGCCTTGTTTTGTCACAGTGTCTCATGCAGTCCAGACTGCCTAAGGCTAGCCTGGAACTCTGGACCCTCCAGTCTCCACCTCCCAAGTGACGGGAGGGGCACAGCTGGCTTTTCTTGGGCAATGTTCCTTTAACTTTAGAGGACTGAGTCTGTCTGAAGTGTACGTTAGCAACCAGTGAGACACTGCCTGTCCATCTCAGACTTGTCCCAACTAGGTCAGGATGCCTCACTTCAGGAGCAGTGCTCGTGACAGGGGACAGTCCCCAAGGAGCATGGCCACAAGCCTTGCAGCATCACAGTGGTTCTTGGGAGGGCTGCTCAGGACACCAGTGCGCAAGGTCAAACTGATAAGACCACACTTCAGCAAACCAAGAGGGTCAAATGCTGTACTGTCTAAGCAGATTACCTAGATGCTAATGGAGAAGAATGACCATCGATGCAAGGTACTTGACAAAAATCCGTATTTATAGACACAAAATGCTGCCTGTAGAAAGGCAAAAATGAAGGAAATCATATTTTAAGAGAATAAATCATAATGTATTTTTAATGAGATTCTCACATAAACACAAAGGCAGCAGGAATTGATGTGAAGTAGTTTCTAAATTTATCAAATCATCACCCACTGCATTCTGAATACCTACAACAGGGAAGAGAAACAGCGCAATAACGCAGATCTGTATTTAATACAGAGGCAAGAGCTCACTTGTTTGGTGTTTCTCAATGCTCTTCCATTCACTATTAAGCAGCTGGTATTTTCTTTTTAAAAAAAATCAAGAAATTGGTTTATTAAGGGAATATACACAGAGTGACTTACTCAATGGGAAAGCATTGCTGTTCGAGAGAAGGAGAAAATAATGTATTTTTGGATCCACCAATCATCCAGCCTCACCATGGTTACAGACTGTGTTTCATAACTTTCCAGCACACTTGAGTCAAAATGACCTTGGTAGTGACTTGAACCAAATCCTCTATCTTATACAAGGAGAAGCTAAAGCTTAAAGAGGAAGGGCACGCTAAGTCTCCTCACTCCGCAGGACTGATGTGGAATCATCACACTTTATGACCTCAATGTCTGCACCCCTAAAACCCATATGATAAAATCCTAACCTCCAAGGTGACCCTATTAAGGTGAGGCCTTCTGAAGGCATTACATCATGAGGGTGCAGCTGGGATCCATGCCTTTACCAAAGAGAGTCCCTGGGCTAGTTCCATCCTACCATGCAAGGGCACAGCCAAGAAAGTACATGCTAGAAACCAGAAACCTCGCCCTCACCACGTATCAATCTGCTCATGTCTTGATCTTGGGCTTCCCCACCACTAGAATTGTAAAGAATAAACTTCTGTTGTTTGTTACGTCGCCCAGCTTCTGACATTTTGTTATAGCAGCCTGAATAAGCTAAGAAATCACTGCAGAAAAAAAAATGGTAGACGTTAATTTCTGTCTGGCTCTTATTTGTAAACTACATAAAACTGTTTCAAAGTGGTTAAAATTTCCATGGGTTTCCACGATTGAAAAAAAAAAAAACCTCTTACGCTATTTTTTATAGTTAAGATTTCAGTGTAACTTGAACATAGATACGTTGCATTCTGGCTCACGTGATTCTAGACTTTAGCCGATTTGCTTTCAGCCAAGGAGGCTTCATGAAAGAAAGCAGATAAGTGATGAGCACTGGGCAGACCTCTATGGAGGTTTTTTGTTTTGTTTGTTTGTTTGTTTGTTTTTCCAAGACAGGGTTTCCTCTGTGTAGCCCTGACTGTCCTGAAACTCACAGAGATCCACCTGCCTCTGCCTCCTGAATGTTGGGATTAAAGGTGTGCACCACCACCGCCTGGTATTTTTCCAGCTTATTTTTTTAAGATTTTTTTTTTAACCTCAGATATTTAATATTTATGAATAGTCTTTGATGGTTTTTACTTTACCCATTTTTGTACAGATAGGTATATCTACATTTATGCATATGTATGTACCTGTGACTATTTGGAAAGAACGTGTTATAAACTTATATTTGGTAGGGAAAGGCATAATAAAAATTAAAAGCAATTCAACTTTTAGCTCTATTTTTCTAAGTGGAATTATCTTGAACCCCAACCAGACAAGTGCAGATTCTCAATACTTTACAGAGAAATCTTTTATTCATTTGCCTAACATTTATTACACAGGCTAACTGCGTGTTGTTAGACTATAGGTTACAACCCGAGATTAAAAGTTCACAATTTAACCACTGCTGAATGCACAAGATGGGGGAGAGAAGCCTAACAGGTCATGGCTGTGGCACAGTAAAAGCACTGATAGTGGGAAAGAACGGGGGAGGTGACCAGGTGTCAGGAGGTGAGGGGAAATGAGAGGAGAAGAGTGTCAACAGCAGTCTGTACAATAGAAGAATGCTCGTGCTCGCTTTGGCAGCACGGATACTAAACCTGGAACGATACAGAGAGGATGAGCATGGCCCCTGCGCAAGTCTGACAGGCAAATCTGTGACGTGTTCCATATTTGTTTCCAGTTGCCTTAAGGAACTTATGGCTGTATGTTCTGTTTGATCAAAGAATAACTTCGCTGTCTTCATTTTTGAAAGTATGAAGTCACAAGGTTGTTAAATATTTCTTAATCACTGTCTTCTATATGCTGACTGCTTGTGATCATAGGTCATTCTCTTTGTTGACTAGCTCTGACTGATTATTGTGCTTATAAATCCTTTATTCCTTAAAGATTACAAGAATTAAAACTGACCAAAATAACAAAAAAAAAAAAAAGAATTTTCTTTTGCCTACTTATGGGACCTTCTTCCTCCTGGGTTGCCTCCAGTCCTGACGTGATGGTGTGCCTGGTCTTATAGTTGCGTATTATGTGATGTTTGGTTGATAGCCCTGGGAGGCCTGATCTTTTCTGAGGGGAGACAGAGGGAGGGTGGATCTGGAGAGGGGTGAGGTGGGGGGCAGAGAGACTTGGGGGAGGAGAAGAAGGGGAAACTTCTGTGACGGGACCTGGGACCTATTTGTAGTGACTGTGATGAAATGGAGGTGGGCAGGTCCTGGAGTGTGTACTGATAGATATGAGTCACCTACAGATACAGATGCATCTGATTTGACACTCCTGTGCAAGCAGGGTTAAGAGCCACTGCACGAGACCGGCACGCTTTTATTCTGACTCATGGCTAAAAATCTTCCTGTGTGGATTCTGTAGCAACCCAGGAGGTACCTTAGGTAACCTTCTAAGATGTGAATACGGTCACTTTGCAGATGCTGTCTATGAAGAAGAGATTCTTCTTAGTTAGCAGGTCCCTGGAGATGAGCTGAGTGTTGCCATCAGGGGAACACACCCAGGAAGAAAAATGGTCCTTTCCTAAAGTACCTAGATGATGTCCTGTGATACAGGAAGGAGATGAAGAGTGAATAGGAATATGGTCTCTCTCAGCTCAGGAGACCCTTCGTTCTCTGTGTCCTTGCACCAAGAGATCAGGCAGACAGTGCATTATGAACACAACTCCGATGCTTTGGGGTTTCTTTAGAAACATCTGTATGTTTACTTCTAACTATATCTAACTGTGTTCATGTATAAATATATGCACTGGTGGAATTTCCACACACTGCTAGAATTCTAGCATTGATATGTTCCCTTTGCCAATTATTTAGGAAGTTTTGGAATATTTTCTGTACATTTACTTGCCCTACTCCCCAAATTTAGTGACTTAAGATCCTGGTAGAGGGACCATTGCCATTCTCAGGAGCTTCCAGGGCTACTGACGGAGTGGTGGTTCAGCTTGCTCAAAACCATAGACCTGGGTTAAAAATTAACTGCTTTATTATTATTGCAAAAACAATCTTAGTAAAAGAGGGAATAACTGTGTTAACAATTATATTAATGACAACTTCTTAGAGAGAGTCCACTTCAAAGTTCATGGATTAAAACTGAATAGAATTGTGTGGTTAATAAGTTGGAATTCGCCAGGCAGTGGTGGTGCACGCCTTTAATCCCAGCACTCGGGAGGCAGAGGCAGGCGGATCTCTGTGAGTTCGAGGCCAGCCTGGGCTACAGCGCGAGCTCCAGGAAAGACACCAAAACTACACAGAGAAACCCTGTCTCGAAAAACAAACAAACAAAAAAGTTGGAATTCTTGGGGCCAGCAATATGGCTCAGCGTGTGAAGGTGCTTACTGCAAACACGTTGACCTAAGTTTGATTCCCAGAACCCACATGATAGAAGGATAGACCCGACTCCATCACGTTGTCTTCTGACCAGAGCGCTTGTGTGCCATGGCACATGCAAGGGAACTTTGCATCCCGTGCATTCTGCCTGCACCTGACTAAGCCGTTCCATTTCTAGTCACCGTGTTCATGCATGCTGGGACCACCCCGTGAAACACATCATCTCTGCCTGCCAAAATTCTTCTTCTTTTTTATTAGTATATATATGATTTATTCACTCCAAATAGGTCCCAGATCCCAATCTTTTTAAAAACCCTCACATGACTCTGAAGTGAAACCCATCATGAGAATCTGCCACTAACCAGACCTTGCGTCTAAGTGCAGTCTGTCCCCCAAAAGTGCAGACAGGCCCTGGGACAGACTCTCAACCCCCCAGAGGATGTTATGCCATTCCAGCAACTGGGGTGCACAATCAACTGTGAAAAGCACTGGCCCAGATTGCCTTGTATCAAGTGGGCAAACTCTGAACCTTGTATGAGGGTCAGTCTCTCACCTTAAAGCAGTGTTTCTCAACCTGTGGGTCTAATGACCCTTTCACAGGGGTCGTCTAAGACCATCGGAAAACATAGGTATTTACTTTACAATTCATAACAGTAGCAAAATTACAGTTATGAAGTAACAACGAAAATAATTTTATGGTTGGGGGTCACCACAACATGAAGAACTGTATTAAAGGGTTGCAGCATTAGGAAAGTTGAGACCCACTGACTTAAGAGACTACACTGGCCTACTCATTTTAAGTACGTATAAATATAAAGCAATTCCCCTGTCACCAGCCTGGACTTTCCCTGAGCATGGACCAAGTATCAGAAGCAAGACCTAGTTCTGCTAGGTCCCTTACACACCTGCCTCATGAGGTGACTCTTTGCCGTGGGAATGGAACCATGGAGAAAACTTTTGTTTGTAATTTGCCATTACAAGTTTTTCTAGTGTACAGAATATTTATCTCATCTACACAATAAACACTTCTTCTTTTCCACAATTTCCTTTTTTATGTTTGTTTGTTTTTGAGACAGGGTTTCTCTGTGTATCTGTGTAGTCCTTGATGTCCCGGGACCCACTCTGTGGACCAGACTGGCCTCGAACTCAAGAGATCCACCTGCCTCTGCCTCCCAAGGGCTGGGATTAAAGGCGTGTGCCACCACTGCCTGGCTTTTTCCACAATTTCTTTAGCCAGCAGTCCAACACAGCAAGTTTTCTAAACTTGGAAAACCATAGTTCTTATGACACTTTCTTTCTCAGAATTCCTTTGGTGAAGCTAATTAGTTATGCAAACTCCTGGTGATGCCAACTAGTTAGAATTGCTGTTCTTGGTGGGTTCCTGGCAGACGTTAGCTGGGAGAAATCAGACATAACCACAGAGACAAAGCTGGGGGGCAACTTGACGGTGCAGCTGAGGAAGCCCCAAAAGGCAGCATTGACGGTAAAGACACGGCAAAAATCACAGTCAGATTTACCTGAATTTGGACCCTAAAATTGCTGCACCAAGACTCTGAGATAAAGATAAGCAACTTTTGCAAAAATGACCATCGGCCTCCGACAGACTATTCAAAGTGAAAACAGGATGAGACAGAACAGGTGTTTTAGAAAGCAATGATGTTTAAACACCACTTGGAGAGAGGAGTTAGCCCTCTCTGCAAAGGAGAAGTTTGGAAGCTTTTTAAAATAACTGGTTCCTTGGGGTCTGCCCAAAGCCAAACCCATCAGAGTTTGGAGCTAGGGGAGTCATTTGAGATTCGTAAAAGCTCACCCAAACGGTTCTTAGACGGAATGAGCCGTGCTGGAATCACAGCCGTGGCAGAGAATTCTAACTTCAAAGCACACGTGTGTCTTATCTTTTAATATACACATTTCTAGAGCTGAGGCTCCAGGTCAATCTCCAATCCCTTTTGACCATGGCATTACCTTTTTCTTACTGATTTTAGTTTTTACTATACTAGCCCATGGAAATTATTAAGAAATTCAAAGTGTGCTACCAAGTTTAAAATGAAAAACAGCAGGATCCTGCCTCACTTCCCACTCAATCCCAAAGGTGAACTAAACATAAACTTTTTAACTCTTTCTTCTAATTATTTCATTTTATATTCCTAACAATACGCATATTCTAAAATTTATTGATATACTAATTCTAGATCTTTATTCATTTATTTTCCGATGTCCCATTATATGCTAGCTCGTCCCCTCCTGGTCATCTATAATAGTCAATCTTTTCTGGAGTCAAGTATGGCCAGGGGCAGCATTTGGTTCATGTATCTTAACGTAGCTGCACTGACTGTTATTACAACACTTCCATTACAGCTGACGGTAGCTGGTGTTTTGGCCTCCAACCCACCATTCCCCACAATTCAGCAAACAAAGGGTTAACATCTGCTACAGCAGGGACAGCCTTCAAAACTTGCCTTTACTCTACAGCAGGTCCCTGTTCTGACATGTCAGTGCCCTGGCTACCAGTTGGTTGTTAAAAATTCTGAATATTGCCTGTAGGTATGACCACGTAATTCATTCTTGCTATTTGAATATAAGTGAAAGTGATGAACTGCACTTCCAAACATGCCCTTGTTCTTACAATCCAGAACGTCAACACTGACTGACCAGGTTTAACTCTACAGATGAGGGCAAGCCTTCACAGAGAGTGGGGGAATGAGGTGGGGGAAAAGGGGTGTGTGTGAATGACTTTGTAAAAGTCAACCCCTTTTGTAAAATTGTAAAATTTCAACCCCTCAAAATGCTCGCTCACCCTGAACTGTTACATGAAATAAAAAGTGACTAGCTTCTCCTTTAAATTATAATTTAGGGAGTTTCTGTTATATTATAGCTGTATAGACTTTTTTTTTCTTTTATGTTTTTGAGACAAGGTTTGGCTATCCTGGAACTCCCGATACAGACCAGGCTGGCCTTGAACTCAGGGACCCAAACTCCTCCTCCCTCTGGCTCCTGAGTGCTCGGATTAAAGGCATGGTGGGATTAAAGGTGTGCACCACTTCTCCCAGGCACGGCACAATCTTACTTTTAAATAGCTCAGCAGTGATTTTAACTAGCTCAGCAGTCATTTGCACCTTTGGAATCTTTGTAAACACTATGTTTCCTTGTAAGGCCATTTATAATTGCCTTCCACCAACCTCATTTGACAGTTCTTAATTGATAAGCCCTTGGAAATAGCAAGCCCCTCCGAAGGGCATTTTACACTTGGTCAAAAGTGTCAGGTTGCCCAACAGTTCTGCTTTTACTTGGAAATTCCTGTAAGTCGCTTCCCAAAAGCCAGCCTGCAACCTCTCTGACCTGGACAGTTTCC